ATGACTGAGTTTTATTAGCAGAAATCTCAACTTATTTCTCTTCTCGGAGTAAACCAGTTATTATCACAAAGAAAAACTCTTTATTTTCCAGAAACACTGAGGAAATTTGATAAACATTTTTAACTTTTACATACAACCTTTAAGGAGAAAGCACTAACTTGTTGCACCGTTATCTTCTGGAGATATCTACCGGTACATAAACAGCAGGAGTCACATCTATCACCTGTTGAGATGGTTAATTCTGTCAGAACCACTGGGCCTTCCATGGAGTGTTTCATAGTAGATGATTGAAGAGTGGGGGGCAAGAGCTGTTGGACCCTTTTGAACAAGACATTTAGTGTGGGGGGAGCACAGTTCCCATAAAGACCAACCATTACCCTTCTGGGACTTCAAGAAAACACACACATTTAAAGTACATCCCACATGGTCAAAACAACAGGAGGTTATTAATGGTCAGGTGTTGCTGCAGTTCTGCTCCAAGCACTTCTCCAGCAAGCTGTGTCCCACAAGGAGCCATAATCATCTCCCACTCCCCAGCAATCATTTACAGCAGCACCAGGTGCCCAATATCCTCTGGTCAAACTGCATCCACAATCTCATAATAGCCTCCTGCACGTTGTCTCAGCTGATTTAAGTCTGTGCAGCAGCGACAGACCTTCAATCTGTTGGCTTTATCATCTGAATGGAACACCAGACTGCTAGGAGAAGTCTCTAATGGGGAGAATCAACAGGAGGGTGGGGATCAGGTCTCTCAGTAACCTATCACAGAAAGCAAACGAGTGAGCCATGCGATGGATATCTGCACCAACATGAAGGGTATTGATGTGCCTTCCAGCAAACTGGGATGAAGAAAGATAGTGTAGCATAAACTTAAGGAAACTTATCTCATATAGAAATAAAAATGGAGGGAAACTGCAGTTTGAAGAACAAATAGTAAGTCGAAATGTGTAAAACGTAGAAGTAAAGTCTGTTTTCATCCAAACTGCTTAACATTCATGCACAACACAGGTCATGCCTGAGTGACACAGTGAAATCAATGCCAATGGTCTTTCTTCATACTCTCATTTTAGAAATTGCCATTACGGATTCCATATATAGACATTTCAATGAACTAGTGAATAAAATGGAAGAATATTGTCTGCATGGCTTTAATGGCAAGCAAATGTGGAATAATGGATCCAGAAATATATTCTGCTCCAGTAATGTATTCATATTTCTCTCATCCAGCAGTGGTGGACAATTTTACGCTGCGCTCGCTTCAACTCACGTGGCCTTGCAAATCAATGTCCATTAAAGCGCCTGAGTGTTCATATGTCACTGCGTCGTCTTTCCGTTAACTCGGCTTCTGCCCAGATCTCAGCTTCTTCCACTGGCGATGGCGTTAAAACAGCACGGCTGCCGTGCACGAAATGAGTTCACTCCAGGAGGCTGCTGCAGGCACATTCTCATTACGGTGACACGTTGACCTCCAGTGACTTCACAATATTCGGATAATGAACCAGACCACTTTTGGTGTGTACTTGTCAGAGACGATTTTAAATCATTATTTATGCAGACAAGGCTTACAGATTTAGAAATCAACGTTTCACAGCTGTACACCTGATCACTGTCCTTTGCAACTACCGGATGTCTCACTTCTCTCAAAAGACTTAACAAGAGCGTGTTTACTTAGTTCTACAAGGAATTACTTAATATTCCAGTGCAACTGCAAATGGCAGCAACATGCAGTGTTTTAAAAGCCCTCATTTATTTTGCAATAGTTTATGCCATCACTTATAATGAATACATGAGTATTTCACTAAAATTCAGACAGTAAATAAAACGGATTCAAATCGCCTTTTCTTCAGAATACTGAACACAAGGCAGAAAACAACAATTTAATAAGCAACTAACCAACACATGAAATAAATTCAGTAACTATTCAATAATTTTATGAAGCTACCGAGCACTTCTGCACCAAGTTCAGGCTTCACAGCGACTTCTTCACTGAGCTTGAGTCACACTATTGTTTTATCCTTGAGCAAGTCAGCTGAGAAACTACAAAAAAAAGTAAAAAAATAAAATAAAATTTGGGAACTCGAGGAAAAGGATTCCTCCACCATTAGCAGGAGATAACCACATCCTCACACCGCCAATTTCTGTGGCAGACTATAACTCATCGGATGAGTCAAAAGAGGCCCACATTAACCCGATCACCTTCTCAAAGATATTCATCAAAACTCTTAAGGACAAGGATAAGGTTTCTTTATTGTCATAGTTATCACATGTCGTGGAACATAACTGTGTGCACAGGGTCCAAGTTACATCCAAGAAACATGTGAATTGTAAAGAAAAACAGTAATAAGATCTAATATATGAACTAAGAAATTAGCTAAACTAATAAGCTAAGCACTAATAGTAGAAAAACAATAACGCGCACACGTCGCGGTAAAGTTTTGTTTAACAGAACTTTTTTTCATTCAACCTTTATACAGGTTAGTCTCATTGAGCCACGAGGACTCATTTACAAGAGAGACCTGTTCTAGACAGACTTGAAATAAAAATGTTAGACATGCTGCCCTTGTGAATTCACTGGCTTGAAATAAATTAGAAAAGATCTGTAATCACACTGTTAAGCTAACAAGCTAAAATACAAAACACAAAAACATTTTTGAATCATTATTTAAAACCAACGTATTTATTGTCACTGGTCATCGAAACGTGTTTTTTTCTAAAATGTGAGCTTCTAGTTATAAAATAATTTTCAGCCTGGTTTAAAATAGGGGCAGCATGGTGGCTCAGGTGGTAGAGCTGTTGCCCCTCAGCAAGGTCACCAGATCAAATCCCAGCCGGGGATCTTTCTGGACTGAGTTTCATGTTCTCTCTGTGCATGTGTGGGTTTTCTCCAGGTACTCTGGTTTCTACCCGCATACCAAAAACATGCATGTTAGTCTGATTGGTAACTCTAAATTGTCCATATGAGTGAGAGAGTGAATGGTTGTTTGTCTCGTTTGTCTACGTGCCCCTGTGATGGACTGGAGACATGTCCAGGGTGTCCCCCGCCTCTCGCACAGTGATGGATGTATATGGGCACCAATGACCCCCGTGACCCAAAAAGGAAGAAGTGGGTAAAGATAATGGATGGAAGGATGGATGGTTTAAAATATTTGTCACCTGCCTTAGAATGACAAAAGATGGCAGCTCCAACATGTGCACATCACATGCAGTCTGACAGAGACAGATGTGTGAGCATCTGGTGCATCCAGTCGTAATGTGAACATTTTTTCACCTAGTTGCTTCAGTAAAGCTTTGATTACTGTCAAATGCATATGACACAAGTTTTGACAGTATAACACAATAAAAAGTAAAAAAAACAAACTGTAAATCATGGGCATCAGAAGCATCTGTAATGTGTGTGTGTGTGTGTGGGGGGGGGGGGGCGCTATAGTGTGTGTGCACGCGCACCAGTATACAATAAAGCAACATTTAATCTAGTTTTCTTTACTTTATCTCCATTTAAATCATGTTTCTCACCAAGTTTGTGTAAATTCAGCTGTTTTAAAGAGATTTCAACTTTAATGCACTTTAACACACAGCATCAGGTCGGCACCATTTGCGTTTATCGAGAAATAAAAAACATCACCACTAGACTTTTTTTTACTTGTGTTCAACACTACTCCTCTTAATGATGTGTCTCGCGAAGCTCGGGGACAATAAGGTGTGGGGTTTTAAAGACATTTCAACTTTAATGCACCTTAAAGCACAGCGTCTCTTACACCCGCAGCGTCTTACAGCGTCACAGTTACTGCTAAGCTAAGATGCTACAGACGTAGCGCTCCTCTCAAGCATCCTCCTAACCATGTATATATGTTTATGATCAACAACTGCCCGCACTAAACATGCTAAGCTGGCAAGCGAGCAACACAGAGGTACCTCCACCTCCTCCACCTGTGAGCGTTCTCTGCAGAGGCAGGAGGAGACACGTAGAAACACTGCAGGCAGCAGGCTGGTGGTGAGGTGGAGGTAACCAGGAAAACCTGGAGTGGATTTTTAGTGGTTTGAATATTCTCCTATTGATCAAGTGGAATGGATTCGTTCAGGAAGAGAAACTGCGCCGACTGAACTAATGTTTCATAGTAAAAGTGTGTGTGTGTGTGTGTGTGTGTGGGGGGGGGGGGGG